TGGCAATTTAATTTTTGTTGTTGTTTTTTTCATAAAATATATATATTTTTTTTTTGTTACTTATTTTTCCCAGTAGGCACATAACATGTCTCGGGGGACAATGCCCCCCACTCTTATATGTCTGAATTAAACAATGGTAGAGAGTAGAATCTAAGACACGCTATTATAAATAATTTTATTTTTTATTTGAAATTGTATTAATTCTTTCACTTTCTGTAATCTTGGTTTTGGACAATCCAACTCCCGAAAATAATAATGGGGATCAAGTTATTTAACTTGTATCTATTTCTTGTTCTATTTTCATCTTTTCTGTCTGCTTAGAAAAGCTCTTAGCCGAACGGTTCTTGTCGTGTTGTCCTGGATCTTAATTCAATCATTCACATACCTTGTTATAATATTTTCTTTTTTTTTAAACGTAGTTTTAAGCAAATATATGTTTTCAAGGGAAACAATCGATTTCGCTTTCTAAAAGTTTTTGGTCGATATCTTTGAGGATTTTTCAAAAACATTTTTATTTTGTATTTTTGTTTAAAAGAATTTTGATTTTTTTTCAAAAAATAATTACAATTTTTAGTATATTTTGTTTTATTAATAAAAAAATGAATAATTTATATTTTTAAAAGAATTTTAAGTCTCATTAATTATGCGTAACCAATGGTTGTATGCTTATTTTTCTCTAAGATGCAATTGGATTACTAAATCTTGTTCTCAGAGGAAATCCACTTGAAGAAAAGATACAAATGTATTTTAATTTCTAATTGTGTTGCATTTTAAATTGTGTCATAAATATGGCATCTCTCAGTCCTGGATGAAAAATAGAGAACTTAAGTAAAATGTTCTTTCAGAAATCTTGCCATTGTGGTGGGGTGGGGGGGCGTCCGTTCATATTTTCTTATAGGGGGCAGTGCCAGTGGCCAAGGGCGTAGTTAAGGGGTGACAGAGCTAACATACACTGGCGAGAGTATGGAGGTGCACGATGGGTTCTCATGGTATTTTATAGTTGAAAATAATTGGTTTCAGGGTTGGGGTGAGGGCGTATTTTATCCACTGACGCTAAACACACAGAATTATTTATAATAATAATAATAATAATAAGACGTCTTATATAGCGCGGTACCCCAGCCTAGGGCTGGCCTCACCACGCTGTATATAAAAATTTTATCAAAAGAGACATAATTTTGACATTAAAATAAAATACATTTATAAAAAAAAAAGAACAGCAATGTATATTCACCAACCCCACCACAAAACTTTTACAAGGCAAACCATTGACGTCAGCCAGGAAGATCTTTTATTAGTCAGAGGAAGGGATTCAGTAAGTGTAGTATAATTTAAAAATATATGTTTTTAGGGCAGTTTTGAAGGCCTGGGTGGTTGGTATTTTGCGTATGTTTAGTGGCAAAGAATTCCATTAATTGGGGGCGCAGAAAGAGAAAAATCGTTCACAATATGTTTTAGTGTGTGTCTTGGAAACCGACAGCATACGCGTGTCTGCAGACAAGTGAAGCTGTCGAAGGGGTGAATAGACAGAAAGAAGTTCGGTTAGAAAGGAAGGGCAAAAATCCAAGAAAAAGTTGTGACAGAGAACAGACAACTTGGAGTCAATGCGTGCCTGTATAGGTAGCAAATAAAGGGAATGGAGTAGTGGAGTGACTTGATCACGTTCTTTTGCCTTTAGAACTAGCCTAGCAGCTGAGTTTTGAACTTTCTGCAGTTTTTTTTTCTTCAGTGTTTTGGTGAACCTCACAGAGGAGAGTTGCAATAGTCAAGACGAGAGAGAACAAGAGCACAGACTAGAGTTTTTGTAGCGCTTACTGTGAGGTAGTGGCGTATGGAGCTGATCTGACGGATAGGGGTGTATGCTGAACGAAACATGTGAGATATGTGATTATCGAGAGACATTTTGTTAGAAAGATTATAACCAAGATTCCTAGCAGAGGGTGTAAACCATACGTTAGAGTTACCAACTTAAAATGAGGTAGGAAGAGTTGAGGTAGAGGATGATGTGTGATTGTGGATGAGGAGTGCTTCAGTTTTGTTATCATTAAGTTTCAACTTGCTGAGTGTCATCCATGACTTGACTTCATCAATGCACCCCCGCAAAGTCTGGACAGCGGATCCAACAAGAGAAGGATGGGTATGCTTGTATAGCTGCGTGTCATCTGCAAATGACTGGCTCTCAACAGCATGCCTCCCAAGCAAGAGGAGAAGTGGTCTGGTATTCAAAGTGAATAGATTCGGGCCTAAAACGGACCCTTGTGGTACTCCGTACACCAAATCAGCACTGCCGGACAGACAGCCATCGACTGAGACCGCCTGCGTTCTGTCGGAAAGGTAGGACCTAAACCAAGCCAAAACTGAGCCACCAATTCCAAAGTAATGTTCAAGGGTTTAAAAAGGATTACTTGGTCAACAGTGTCAAAGGTTGCACTGAGTCTAAGAGGATCAGGATGGAGACATCCCCACTGTCCAATGCGAGCAAGAGGTCATTTTTCCCTCTCATGAGAGCCGTCTCTGTGCTGTGGAAATGTCTATAGGCCGACTGATTAGAACTGAGAAGAGAGTGGTTAATTAAATAAGCAAAAGGTTGTTTTAGAACTAGTTTTTCAATAACTTTAGATAACAATGATAAGTTAGATACAGGTCTATACTTTTTAAAAATTATTTTCATCCAGACCAGGCTTCTTAAGCAATGGTTTGTTGACAGCTGATTTACAAAGAGGGGAAACAGCGCCAGAAGACAAGCTTTCATTTATTATGTGGGTTATCTTTGGGAGCAAATGATCTAATATTCAATCAAAAGGGGGGTGGGGATGGGATCCAAATAACATGACGTAGGTTTAGATTTTAGAATTATTCTTTTGACCTTAAGTTCTGAAACAGGTTTAAAAGTATCTAAATGTGAAATAAGACAAGGAACATGAGGCAAAACCAGGGATGGTGTATCAAAACGATCAAGCTCAGCGCGAATGCTCGCAACTTTGCTTGTAAAGAAAACACCGAAAATATCTGGTTGCTAGGGCAAAGGAAATACTGAAGGAAGAGGAGTTCCTTTGTTTCTCCCTCAAAGGTGGCCACAAACATCAAACAACTGCCTGCTGGTTTTACCCATAGTTATCTTTTGGCTAAAATACAAAGTCTTAGCACGACAAACAATCTAAATGACACGCTTCTTGTCAGTGGAAAAGATCTGCTTAAAAACCACAAGACCTGACCTTAACCACTTCTTTTCTGCACTACGGCGCTCTTTCTTGGCACTGCGTAGTTCCTCCTTGATGGTCGCATACCAGGGAGATGACCGCTTTAGACTAAAATTGCGGCGGGTGACAGGGGCGTGCCAGTCAAGCACAGCGCGCAATGCATGGTCTAGTGTTTCCAATGTAGGGCAGAGGGCAGGGGACACTTCTAAACTCAGGTCATGCTTAAAGGCATCCCTGTTTGTAGTTCGTAGACTGCGGACATCCCTAAAGTGAAGGAGAGGGTTAGGGACCCTTACATTAAGCTCGCAAATAACACAGAAGTGGTCAGAGGACAGCTCCCTAGTGATTGAAGCAGATCTAACTAAACCATCTTGAGGCCTATGTAGCACCCAATCAAGAATATGTCCACGATTATGATTCGGTTGATCGACTGATTGCTGAAGACTGAATAAATCCAAAAGATCCAACATCCTAGCAGTGGAGGGGTGCTGTGGTTGATCGAAATTAAAGTTCATGTCACCTAGTACAATGTAAGTCCCGGCCCATGTGTTGCAGTGATCAATCAAATCCGGGATTTCTCGATTAAACACTGCATCGGTCAATTTATTTTTTCTTACTAGGGAAGGTTTGATATATGCACATTAAATGAACTTTCTGCTGGGGCACTGACAGGGTAAATTGAACTGCTTCAAAAGATGTATGTACGAATGGGAGGTCTGTGACAAAAGCTCTTTGATGGGACAACGTGTCTCTATATATAACAGCAAGGCCTCCACCGCGAGTTGAACGGGGAAACGATCGGGCAGAATAGCCAGATGGAGCGATATCAGTTCACTTCCCCTCATTGCCAGTCAGTCGAAACCAGGTCTCCTGGATAAACAGAATGTCAATCTGCCTATCAGTAATAAATTTGGAGACTTCGATGCGTTTCACATAAGAGCCAAGCGACTGGGCGTTGAATGAGGCGATGAGAAGCCGTTTGTTGCTGAAAGGTGGAGAGGTTTTGATGTGATGGCAGTCAACAGCAACTAGATTTGCTTTCGAGGTGGTGTGAAATCATGATCCGCTGAACGTGCTCTTAGGATTGACACGTAGGGAATGGTTGCGATGGATGACACGGTATGTGGCTGAACTCCGTCTTCACTTAAAGTTTCGATTAAAGGCTTTACATGACGGTTTCCGCAAGCAGTAATATTGACGTGGCTGTCGTCATGGTGGTATTTCAGTGGACGCTGTTTACGACGACCTGCCGGATAAAGACGCTTCTTCTTTCGTTGTGGGCCCATTTTCCGTCCACAACTCCAATGGGTACTCTTACAGGGTAGGCCTCGGCCTATGGACAGTTCTTTCAATCGATAAACATGGTTAGCAGACTAGAGTAAACGTTGGGTATTCATTGACAATAGCCGATCGCGTGAGTAAATCAGCACATCTCGATTACTTTTGGCGGCACTATTAGTAGTTAAGCCACAAGGCAGTGTATCTATCGATATCCAGATTTGTGATCATTTTCATCAGAAAGTAGAGTGGTAATTGAGATCAACGATAAATCTTGATCGGTTGAGTGTGTTACGGAGCCTTTAACCTAGAAAATTATACATTATATCAAAGTAAGAAGATGTATTTTTTATAAACTTGTTTGCTATGATTTTATTGTACTTTTTGAACGGGGAGTGACATCTTTTTAGGTTTTGTTGGCGGCATTATGACGTCAAGTGAAAAAACAGTAAGTTTTTTTCCCCAAAAGACTTCAACACCGAGACTCAAGAAAACACCCACTTATACCCTGTATGCCGTCGAAGACGAGGGAGAACTGCCATTGAGGGCAAGTACGATGTCGACAAACTTTGGATAGTTACTTACAATCCCTGGCTTTCTCAGAAATGTAATGCTCATATTAACCTTGAAGTTTGCGTGTCCATTCAATGTATCAAGTATCTATATCAGTATGTCTACAATGGATGCGAAGCTGCATCAATTGCACTTCACAAGAAGACTGGCGAAGATGCTTTCAACCAGGACGAAATACTGACTTTTTTCGACGATAGGTACGTGTGGGAACCATCAGGCAGTTTGGTGTTTGAATGAGTACAGTCTTTCCCAAAAGTCTCATGTTATTACAGTTCAATTTTTAGAACAACAAGTCATCTTCTTCCGGGAGGGTCACAAAGAACAAGCGCTACATAGACAAGCAAACAAAAGCACTATGCTTTTAGCATGGTTAGAACTCAAAAAGACAGATTTTGGAGACGTGACGTTACATTATACTGATGTCCCCCACATAACACATTTCAACAATGCTGTGGGAAATGTAAAAAGAGAATCAGAGGAGGTGCAAAAGTGATCGGTAGAATGCGTGTTGTTGCCGTTAACGACAGCGAACGTTACCGACTTCTCCTTACCCGTCTTGTAGGCATCACAAGTTTTCATCATCTGAGGTCTGTCACTTTCATCGAATGTAACACTTTGAAAGAAGCATGCTAACAATTAGGTCTTCTTAAAGACGACAAGATATAGCATAATACTCTTACAGAGGCATGCCAGATTCAAAGGCCGTCCATATTGCTTCAACTTTTCATTGTCGTCTGTGTCTTTAGCGAACCACAGTACGTTCCACACCTTTGGGACACACATAAAGTCTCCCTTTCTGATGATCTTCTCACTAAACATTCGATACACACCCCTTACATGTATGTTCTCGCGGAAATTAATGGCATGTTGCAACCACATCGCCTGAGCTTCCAAAAATTACCACTACCCGTCATTGACAATCTTCTATTGTCTCATTCATCGACTACCTTCCACGCTCATGCTGAATAATACCTCGCTATCGAACACTACAACAAACTCAGCACAGAACAAAAATACACTGTTGACACTGTTTTAAACGCTGCATACAGATATTCCCATCCGCGACAAACATTCTTCTTCTTAGATGGCCCCGCAGGAACAGGCAAAACGTTCGTCTACAAAACCCTAATTCATTCCATCATAGGTAGGAGAGACATTCCGTCAACTGTAGCATCGACAGGAATAACTGCAACATTGTTACTAGAGGGACGTATTGTACATTCCGTTTTTAAAATACCCTTGAAGCTGACCACGACTTCGACATGCAACATCAAACCTACGTCTCTAAACCCTAAACATCTTCTGAAATCCAAAGTGATAATATGGGACGAGGCCTCAATGACATACGCATTCCAGGCAGTTGACAGGTTATTACATTACCTCACGAGTGACACGCAGCCATTTGGATGCAAAACAAAGCTATTGGGTGGGGATTTCCGACAAATCCTCCCCATCATTATGCGTGGCTCCCGAGCATTTACTGTCACCAGTTGCATTAACAAACATCATTTGTGGCGTAACATGCATGTCCTTACACTGACAACAAATATGAGAGGTCTTCCTCACTAACAAGATTTCGCCAAATGACTCCTTGATGTAGGAGACGAAAAAATGGAACATTTATTAAATTATTTTCAAATTGTTTTCCTGTTAATTCTAATCCCGTTCAACAACAATACGGTGACATCGACTTCTCAACTGTCACTCCGGAACAACTGAGTATGCGCTCTATATTAAGCGTCAACAAAGAAGACTCCGTACATATCAATGAAGAAGTCTTGAAACTTATCCCTAACGACGAAGTAACTTTTACCAGTGTTGACTTCATCCTCATAGACGATCCCGCAGATCAACTGTCATTCCCCGAAGAATTTCTTAACAGTCTTACTCCCCCTGGCCATCCGCATAAATTCAAACTTAAAATTGGTTCAGTTTTCATGCATCTCAGAAACCTAATGCCTGAAAGAGTTCTCTGTAATGGCACTAGGCTGACTGTTACCAACATTCACTGCAATGTCCTAGAGTGTCCAACTATTTCAGTTGATACCGCAAAAACTCTCCTAATTTCCCGAGTTTCATCCACATCAAATTCAGATTTACCTTTTACTTTTAGACGGTGACAATTTCCTCTTAGATTATCCTTTGCAATGACAATTAATAAGGCACAGAGACAAATAAGATTTGCCTCTATCTAACAAAACCGGTCTTCAGTCACCGAAAGTTGTATATAGCTCTCTCCAGAGTTAAATATGTTCACGCAATCACAGTTCTATCCTCAAACTCAACCTGTTTGGGCAACTGTGTCTTTCACTCAAGTCTCCACTCATCTATGAGCAATTTTGTGACGTATGCTACTTCGCGGGTCGAAAAGTTATATATATATAGACTAGAGACGAACTGAAGTAATATCAATGCTGCCATACTAATACAATGAACTGTAGTAATATTAATTCGACTGTACTTATACAATGAGCTGACGTTATATCAAAACGACTGCCATAATACAATGAACTATTGTAATGTCAATACGACAATACTAATACAGTAATCTGAAGCAATATTAATACGACTTAACTAAAACAATGAACTGAAGTAATATAAATATTATTAGTACTGTATGCTTGAAACGCTCTTGGTCGAATTGTCGAATTTTCCTGGCTTTTAATTCAAGCTTTCACATGCCTTTCTATTATGTTTTCAATTTTTTCGTTTTCTCTTTAGAGGAATGTTTAACGCTAATAAATGTTTTCCACGGGAAACAATCGTTTTCTATCACAACATATTTTATTAGATATCGTTTAAGATTGCTTTAACAAATTTACATTTTTTTTGTTGTTTTTTAAACGCATTTAAACAGTTTTAGAACAAAAATTGTGCAATGAGTCCTAAAAATCGTTATTAACATTTTTTTTTAATCTCTTTTTTTTTTAGATAAAAACTTTATATTTACGACTTTAAGAAAGTATATATTTAAACATTATATAAACTGTACTGTTAGATTGATACTAGTCACTTCTACAATATGAATGAGTGGACTGCTAAAATGGTTGGTGGAGGTCCCCATATGTTCCCTGTGTATATTGTTTTAGGAATTACATATGTGTTTATGATTGTGCTCCGGCCAAAAATTGAGTGTGCTGTGTATTTATGTCTGTCAATTATCTTTTTTATTGATTTTTCAATGTTTTGCCATGTTTCTGTGTTAGTTTGAGTCTGTTTGTTTGAAAAATAAATGCCATATATCCTAAGACTATCTTTCCTTACGATTTCTAAAGGGAAATCTAGTCTATCTTTCCACTTACCTATCCCCATAATTTCAGATTTAGCTATGTTTATTTTAGACCCACTACCTCTTCCAAATTCTTGAAATATTGATATTATTTTTGAAATAGACTTATCATCAATAGGAAGGTGGAGGTCCCCATATGTTCCCTGTGTATATTGTTTTAGGAATTACATATGTGTTTATGATTGTGCTCCGGCCAAAAATTGAGTGTGCTGTGTATTTATGTCTGTCAATTATCTTTTTTATTGATTTTTCAATGTTTTGCCATGTTTCTGTGTTAGTTTGAGTCTGTTTGTTTGAAAAATAAATGCCATATATCCTAAGACTATCTTTCCTTACGATTTCTAAAGGGAAATCTAGTCTATCTTTCCACTTACCTATCCCCATAATTTCAGATTTAGCTATGTTTATTTTAGACCCACTACCTCTTCCAAATTCTTGAAATATTGATATTATTTTTGAAATAGACTTATCATCAATAGGAAAAAAAATTGTGTCATCTGCATATGCAATGACTTTTGTTTCATTACCTCCAGGGATCCTTACTCCTTTAATACTCTCCTCCCTTCTAATGCTCTCTAACAAAGGTTCAAAGGATAGGATATAAAGGTAAGGGGAAAGGGGACACCCTTGTCTAACTGATCTGTCAATTTTAATGTCTTTAGAAAGTGTGTTGTTAATTATAAGATTACTAATGGGGGACTTGTATAAAATTTTAACCCAATTACAAAAATAATCTCCTAGTTTGTTGTGTTGTAATATTTTATGTAGGTATGTATGGTCTACCCTATCAAAGGCTTTTTCTTGGTCTAGAGATAATATGCAAGTTTGGATGTTTTTGTCATTTGAATATTGAATAAGGTCTCTAATGAAATGATTGTGGTTCTGCATTGTTGGTTTATATGTATTAAAGTATTTAAATGTTTTTTTAAATTTATTTGCTAGAGTTTTTGTGAGAATTTTATAGTCTGTGTTAAGTAAAGATATGGGTCTGTAATTTTTAAGTTGTGTTCGGTCTGTATCTTTTTTTGGTAAAAGCGTGACGTATGAAGTATTCATTGAACGTGGTAACTCATTGTTGATGTAAGCTTCTTCTAGTGTGGCATGTAAAATTGGTCCAAGTTCTGTGAAAAAGAAAAGGTAGAATTCCGTTGTAAGGCCATCTGGCCCTGGTGTTTTATTTTTGTTCATGCTGGACAGGGATGTTTTAATGTCTGCTAATGTAATAGTTGCGTCCATTTCTTGTGTTTGAATTTTATTTAGCTTTTGTGTAAATTGTGTGTACGAATCTTGTACATCTGATTCAATTTTCTCTGTTCCAAAAAGTTGTGTGTAGTATTTTTCAAATGTGCTTACGATATTTGGCGTCTCAGTGTGTGTTTCCCCAATTGTGTCAACAATCTGTCCTATCTGTCTACTTTTTTGTATGTTTTGTTCTATTGTTAGAAAGATCTTTGTAGGTGCCTCTTGGTTGTTAGTGAAAGTTCTACTCCTAAAATGTGCCCCATTGTATTTATTTTGCTTAATTTTTTTCTAGTTCTTCTTCAAATGCTTGTATTTGGGGGCTGAAAGGGTTTTTTGCTTTCTCTGATGGTGTGAGTATTTCTAATTCTTTTTCTCTTTCTCTGAGTTGTCTGTGTAAGCTTGTTGCAAAGTTGTGTGTGATATGTTTGATGGTGGATTTTAAAAGTTCCCAGTGTTGTCCTATGTCTGTTTTGGGTAGTGTGCTATATTGTTTTAATACAATATTAATGAGATCTGTGTACTGATTGTTTTCTAAAAGTGAATTGTTACATTTCTAATGTGGGGATTTTTTTTATGATGTTTGATCTTGTTGTATTTATTTTAATTTTCA